GTATGGATCAATACAATTTTTTTATGAGAAGTAGTATTTATATACATCTTTCATTGGATATACTTTTTTTTAAAATCAAACTATTTCTTTATATACGGGGGGTGTTCAAATATAAAAAATGCATATAGAAAGTAGAACTTTTTCAACTTAACTTTTGAAAGTGTTCCGGAAGGTCTGACACTTTTATATATACCTTAAATTGAAGCTTATGTAATATACTTTAATTTGAAAAAAAAAAATTTGACCTCTGGACTTGTATTCGTGGTGAAAATGGCTACCGAATGCTATTTTCGTGTGAAAATTCTCGATTCTATTTTTTACATTTTTAACTTTATAATGCTATAACTTTTTGAAAAATGTATGGNTTTAACTTTATAATGCTATAACTTATTGAAAATTGTATGGATTAACACAATTTTTTTTTGAGAAATAATATTTTTTAATAATTCCTTTTTCATTCGACATACTTTATCTTAATCCAGATATTAATAAGGAACTAGCAGATCATGTAGCTTTTGGAATAATACACCAATTTTTTTTAAATTAAACACAATCTAAAGATTTGCATCGAAGCGTTTATTTTTGATAGTGATTTTAATCACTGTCAGATATCATTATACTTGATCCAACTATACCACGGCACCACTGTGCCGCGACCCCCCTGTGCTGGGTTTATTTTTTTGTAGTTGTCTCAATTAATAAACATTTTTTTTTTTTTGGAAAAATAATTTTCTTTCTCAAAGACTAACTCTATTTTGTTCGCAAATTATTATTACATATTATTATATTAAACTAAAATTAATAAATTCAAAAAGCATTTTTATTGTATTTTTATTTTGTGTAAAAAAAACTGGTTAAACATTTATTTATTTATAAATTTGATTATTATTTTTTATTTTCATTTTATTTCAGTTCATTACTCGTTAAATAAATATAACTATTATTACTTAATAATGAGATTTATTAAAAGTTTGTCTAACTTAAAAAAAAATATGTATAGCTATTATATATTATAAGTTAGTGTTTAGATAAACGTACAATTTTTTTTTTACGAACTAACATTTAAAAAGTTTGCAATCGTATAAGGACCAGAAATTTTGAATTTAATGTAAAATGTGCTAAATATCCTAAAAGAAAAAATCAATTTACGATTACCCCACATCACCCTAATTTATTCTAAATTATTTAAGTCTGACCGTGAGAAAGGAAAGATATTTTTTTTTTTGAAATTTATAGAATATAGGTTACTATTAATTTCTGAATAGAAAAAATGATTGTATATATATATGTATGTATAAATAATATTACAATTACTAACAATAACGATGATCTATTATTTTTCCTTGTAATTTACTTTAAGTTAAATTAAACTAATGCATAATTAAATTGTTTGATAAAATTATTCACTATGATTTAAGGGGTAAAACACTTACACTTTTGACCTACTCCCTATCTGTGCTAAAAATAGACTTTATGTATATAGTCTAAATATATTCAATTTTATACATACTATGTACTAAATTATTCATGTGTATTTGTGTAAAATTATGTTATGATGTTCCCATATTATAATTTGGACGATTATTAAAACTTCCTTGTTTTTCTTCCTTTAACTTTATCTTGTATCTCACACAAATATTAATAAAATAATAATGTATCATTTATTAGATTGCTTAAGTTATTATATTTTGTTAATTATTATGACCATGCACATAAGTGATAGTAGATGAAACAAACTACTTGTGGATAGGCGTTAGTTGAAGGATTACGCAAGGTAATAGATTCGTTAACAGTAATTACATCTTGTTTTATACATTAGATAAATAAAAATTACGAATTATACAACACAGTTCTATTTTTTTAAACTTTATTTTGCTGACGTAGATCGACTACCGCTGAATAATTTATAAAATTACACAAGATACGTCAAAGTACAAAATACCCCTAACCACAAATCCATTTTGTCAATAACATCGTTAAAAATTAACAATTTACGTCACAGTATCGATAAATAAAATACATAAATACATATAGCATCCTATAAATAACTCCATTTATTCAATTAATTTTTCTAATTTATGTGTACTCCGATTAATTTAACTAATTTCACTTAGACGTAATTAAAAAAAAAAATAATAAGCGCTAAATTGATTTTAACTAAAAAAAATTGTATATAATATAAAATATTACTATTAACAGTAAAGATACATTACAAAGAAATCTGGATCGAAGAAATGCTCTTATTAAATCAATAATTTAAAAAATTATCAAAAAGTATAAAAACATATGTTCATGTGTAAGCAACATCCTATATTCTTCTATAAATTGAGAATTTAGTAAACCAATTTTTTTGTATAACCCCCCTATGCAAAATATAACAAGATAAATCATGAATACACCATTGCTAAAATATATAAAAAATGTAATATATTTTAGAAGTATTTTAGCAGAAAAAATATTATTTCTGTATTCCAACAATTTGATTCCTGAAGCGCAACATGTAATAATACAAAAAAAAGTAACGTACCCTGAAAGAAAAAAGCCCAAAATAAAGTTTCGTAAAGATAGCTAATATACTTAATTTTTTTAAGAAAGTATTTATAAATATTAGCATAATAAGTAAAATAAATAAATAATTTGTAATAAAAAACTAACTACTTCACTATACAAAGTTCGTCCCCTTTACTTTATAACGATGGAATAAATTTTTTTCTGTAAGTGAGAGAAATATTGATAAAAAATCTAAAAGCAGGTACTTGTAAGAGTTGCCTAGAAACTAATACAAACATTATTATCCTTTATTTTTTATATTTATTGTTATTTAATAAGCCCTTGTTAATATATTAAAAATGTTAATCATTTTTGCGTGCTTGGAAAGAGAAAAATAAAATATTTAATAATTATAACTTTAATCGACTTAAGAAAATAACATAAATTGACATTCGCTATGATTAAATACAGTATTTATATACGAGTGTTCAACCCTAAGAAATGTCAATAATTTTTATTTTAATTAAATTTTCATTAAAATTTAAAATGCTATTTCTTTTAAAAAAATATATATAATACCTAAATAAAAAAATATAAGATAAAATAATAGTATGTTTTTATTTAGGTACATGATAAGCACTATGAGAAGACTNTATGTTTTTATTTAGGTACATGATAAGCACTATGAGAAGACTTAATTTTAAATGCTTATGACAACACTCAGAACGCCTAAAAGATAATATGTGCTGCTGCTATAGCAATATCGTAGCCAGAATATCATATTGAGAAAATAACCTTCAAAATATACTTTATTATTAAAAAAAATCTAGTAACATTTTAAAATTTCGAAATTTATAATTTTATGTGGTTCACATATTTTACAAAAGTCATACTATCATAACCGAATTGTACAAACAATTTTATATAATTATTGTAAATAATGATAATTATTAGCTATAAATTTCTAAATTAAAACTATATTCGATATAATTGAGAAACAAATACGATCAGGACCATATATACGATTTTTTATACAATAGGTAAGGTAAAAACGGCTTAATCAAGAGCCATCTTTAATTCCTAAACTATGAAAGAGGACCACCTTCCTCTGTAATATGTTAAGTTCAGCAAACAGAAGAATGTAAATTTGATCATTTCTTATTTTAGGTAAGATAAAAACGCCCCATAGTCCAAATTTCTTCAGTTAAATAATTGTAAAGAAATACACCTTAAGCTAAAACCAATGCAGATTTTGCTACCTTTTGGAATACCTAAAAGTTATTTTAAATTCTTATATTTTAAATCAAACTACTAAATATATAATTTTTTATTGATCAGCCAAAAGTCAAAAACACCCTAAACAATTATACCACCCATGATACAAGCCCATCTTAACTTTCTAAAACGTAAGATGTTGATAAATTATTCAATTTTTTCTTTATAATATTCGATAAAAAACCACATATTTCAAAATAAATTGATATGTTTTGGCAATTTTTTTTTTTTTTTGACACAAGAAAATATCCGATTTGTAAATAAATATAATATAGTAAATAAATAAAATTATTGTACTGCAGTTAATCAATACAATTTGAATAAAATATTTTTATTTTAAATATACCATATTTTTACAAAACTATTCTATTTGTTAATTTGCATCATTTAGTATTGGAATTGGTCATATTATGATTATATTGAAAACACACTAAGAGTTATAAAAATAACCGGTTTAATTTGTTTATTCGTTTTTAAGCCAAAAGAATGCGAAGGTGAATTAAATATTATACAGTACATTACTAGCTAACGAACAAGTAACAACTAGGTCTAGGTAAAAATAAGCTTAAAAAATATATATTAATTAAAATAATATAAATTACTAAATAAATAATTAGTTTTGTACACAGAGCAAATTAAAAAACAAAAACTTATATTATAATTTTATCATACTTTCTTGATAAATATGAAAAATGAAGTTCTATTTCTTAAAAAGATTAAATCAAATGCCGGATAGATTATAAACTAAATTATCTTTATTACCTTAGTAAGTTTAAAGCTTAACTTATTTTTTTTTAATTCAAGGTAGTTAACAGTAAAAAAATTATAATTACTTAATTATTTTTAGAAAGATAATATGATGAAAAAATGTTTGTAATAAGAGCATTGAACCCCCAAACTTCCTACCAGCGCCCCTTAATGTTTATTATATATATATATATATTATTTTAACTTTAATACCTGCATTTAAATATCAACATTTTTTGAATAGTAGTTTGTTTTTATTTTTGACTTCTAATCGAGACAAACACTTATTCGATTGTTTTATGTTTACCAGTTTTTCGTATTGGCTTATGTAATTTATTTATACAATACTACAATTCTGTTCAGAATGTTTTGAAAACATGTTATTAAAACATTTATTGTTTTGTGTCGAAACACTTTTGAGTCCAAAAATATTTACATAAACAAATTTAAATGTTATCTATGTAAACACAAAAATACTTTTTACTTACTTTTTTTTTAAATGAATAAACAGAGAGGTCAATTGTTGCTGTCTAAAAATTAAAACTTTATCTTATAACAAAAAATAAAATAAATTAATTCAACACAATCCCATTCTTTTATAATTAAGCCAAAATAAGAATTTAAATGAATAAAAAAAGCTGAAACTAAAAATACTCATAATAATTCTAATTTTAAACTCGGCACATGGAAAAATACAAGATGTCAAATAAGTTATTGAGCACTCAGACGAAAACGGTGTGATCGCGGTCGCGGTCGCTTACGGTATAAAACAGTTTACAAAACGTTCTCTTGAGGACAACTAGTCGACAAAACAATACCCCCGGTAATATCTACTAGTACATATATATATATATTCAAGTTTATATATTCTAATGTCGGTTCTGACATCTTTTTATATGATGTATTAGCACAAGCTAATTAGTGATGTAAATTCTTACAAAATTCAATTTTTGCGTCAATTCAAAAACACGTACGTTACTATTTTACTATCAATATTAGTAGGAATGAACTGAAGAATTGAGTCAAGATGGGAAAAGCCAAATAATTTTCTGTAAAAGTTTTTTACTTTATTTTTTTTTTTTGAATTTTTAACTAATATAATATGAAACTTTTATCTTAAATACACGACAAAAATAGTCAAAGAGACTATTTGAAAACATTTATTTTCCATAATCATAAATCATTTTATTTGGCTAAAAAAAATGTATATAAAATCTATTATTTCAGTTTCCTAAAAATTAAAAAATTTTTACATCGCTAAATTAATAAAAAAGATTTTTGGAGAGGGTTGAAATTAAATAAGATTCCCAAACCTTGATTTTTTTACAAGTTTCTACAGTTTTTTTTATAAATAACTAATAGTTTTTACTCTTTCCTATATATTTTTTTGCGAGGATTTTCTATAAATATTTACAATTTAAAATGTCTTTTATAAGTTTTAAGTGTTTTACTTAATATTGATCATACGGTTTGATATATATTAAACCAAATAATGCTTCTATATAGAAGTTTTGTCTTTGAACACTAAAAAGAGAATATCAATAGAAATCTTTCTTAGAAATATCAAAAATTATTATGTGAGGACACTTAAAAAATCTTAAAAAAAATTTAATTTATATTCACAATTAAAACAAGAGAACCTCCATTAATTTAGTTTATATACTTATATTTTTTATTTGTCGTTCAGACGTTTCCGTGGTGTAGCGGTTATCACATCTGCCTAACACGCAGAAGGTCCCCGGTTCGATCCCGGGCGGAAACATAATATTTTTGCAAGTGATACGGTAAATAAATAACATTTTAAATTTAACATTTTTTTTATTTAAATTATTAACATTTTTTTTAAATATTACTACGCTTTAAAAAAAAAGTACAATTAAAGGAAAAATTTAAATATTAAATACAACTGTTATATTTAACTAAATTTTTTGATGGAAAAGAATAGTTACAATTTTTTATTTTTCTAATGATAAAAGTCTAAGTATTCACGTCTTTTAATTCATACTAGACCCTTGCAAAAATCTTATTGAAAATTAAAAATTATACTAAATCTACTTTTAATTATGTTTCATAAATCTTTTTTTACGACGAGTAATCCAGTTACAGGCACGTAGTCAGGATTGCAATTTATCTCAAGTAATAATACTACTAAATTTACTTCACTAGAATATTAATTTGAAAAATTAGAAGGGATTGGTCTGGATTACGATGACAAGAAGAAGTGTTAATTATATCATAGTTAGTTTAACTATTTTCATATTTTTGTCCGTCATTAATATTTCTTAGCTCTTACTGTACCAATTTTTTTAATAATACGTCAAAAGATCACAAAATGTATTTAGTTGAAGACATTACCCTTAAATATTAAAACATTTTTCTTCGTAAATGGATGAAATTTCCCAAAAAATTACTATTTCTAAAATTGGTAAATTATGATATTTTTTAGTTAAAACTGTCACAAATTTTTAAAAATGTATGAATCAATACGATTTTTTTTATATAAATACCTTAGATATTTCGATTTATTTAGTTATATAAATTTTTTTTTTTGAAATTCTGACCCTTAACATGACCACTTGAGAAATTCAAAATTAATACCTTTGCATTTAAACTTTCAATTTAATTTTTGAAAATGTTCTGAAAATATTCCAAGCTTCAAATAAATAAAGCATTTGTTACATACTATTTGATACAAAAAAAAATTTGAACCGAGACTTTTCTTCTATAAGTATACGGTTTCCGAAGCTAGACAAAAATATTATATTGGTGAAAAAATCACCATTCTTCATGTTACAATATTTTTACGTTTATATTTTAGGTATGTATAGTATATGGAGATACACATGAGTGGGAATGTGATAAATACCCAATTAACCTTTTCCCATTACATAAAAAGTATTATAAATATTTTACAGCTATTAATGTTAATATAATAAATATATTAAAAGAACAATGACTGCCTTTTCCAAAATAAATGACTCATGATAAATTGAGGTAACGAAATATAGATGATTCTTTTAATAGCCACTTGGTTAAACCACTCGTATTCATTCAATTTCACTTAATATAATAATTATATTTAGAACATTTTTTTTTTTTGTGTTTTTTAGTTTAATATAATTCTGGATTTTTCAATAATAAGAATTTTTTTAATTCATCCATTATACCTTATAAGGGTGTCAACTTTATTTTATAATGTTAACATACATATTTAACTAGCTTATAAAATAAAAAAATGACTTAAGAAAAGTTATAACTTTGTATCCATAATTTTGGAAGTTATAACTATGTTGGAATATAGAGTAGAGTGAATTATGGATTGTTATTTTTATCATTACACATTAATTTGCCGTGATCTTCTTTCACTCTATATTTAAAAATATTAATAAATTCTAAAGTACTATTTCAAAAATTAATTTAGACTAACCTTTTTTGCAATTAGATCATTTTTTATTTTATTAGCTAGTTAGATAAGTATGATGCCATTTAAAAAATAAAGGCGTTAGCCTTATGATGTATGAAGGATGAATTAAAGTAATAATTAATAAATTGAGAAATATATGTCCCCACAGTCCTGTGTTTGGTTGAATTAAGTAATTTTCATATATGGTCCTTATTTTCACTATTGTTATTGTCAACAATGTAATTTTAATGAAAGTATTCTAGTTCAAGTAATAATTGATTTTATACAAAATTAATACAAAATGTACTAAAAATAAACTCAAATATTATATTTTAACATGAGTTTCATGTTAATTTTAATAAATATTCTGTTATTAATATTAATGTTTATTTACAATAAAATAATAAATTTGTAAACACGCATTGTTTAAAAAAAATGTTTTTTGTAATATATAGATGCATGTGCAAATAATGAAGGAAATTATTATTCATCTTCTGCAGTTTTTTTACGTAGTATAACAAAGCCTTCCATAACTGGAGTTAGAGGTTTGTATTCATCGGTAGCAAGTTCAGCCCGTTCACCAACTGCTAATAATACAGGAGTTGTATGGGTGTGTACACCAGCTATTGTTTTTGGTGTTCCTGCTTTACCAATAACATCGACAGCCTAAAAAATGTCCAATATTAGCTTAACTTTGATATGGACATAATGTTGTATTAAAAAATCATTAAACCTTAGTACCATAATCTAAAAGTTAATAAATAGTAAAGAATAAACATGTAAGTCATTTTTAAAATTAAATTCTGCTATATAATTTTTTGGATATAAAAATTTATACACATTTAAAATTCAACAGGCCCTATCTTGTGTAATAATAACCAACATTAAACATCTCCCAATCATAAACTCGCAAACTTCTGCTTTAAAAAAACCTAGTTTTGCATCAAAAACAATAATTGATTACCACCCAAAAAGATAATTAGGGATCATATTAAATACTATAGACAATATACCACAAATTGAGTATCTCATCGTAATAGGCAAAATAGTTGGACCTAAATACATAACATATGCTTTACAAGTATTGAACGGTCATTTCTGTAATTATTTTTCACAATAAATGACCTAATTTTAAAGCTGGGTTCCTACATGGGAACCCGGCTTAAGATATAACTATATAATAGAAAATCAAAAAGTAAGTGTAGGACAATTTATAAATCCAGCATAAAAACATTTTCCCTCAAATGTTTGTCCTTCCATACCTATAGCCTAATAGAGTAGATTTCTGTTAGTAGCATAACAGAAGTAGATTTTGAACTAGTGTCATCTATAGTAAAATTAAAAGATGGATTTAATTTAGAAGAACTTAGATAGATTCTTATTTGCAAATGTAAAATAATATTAAACCAGGTAATTTCAAACAAACCTACCATTATAACAGTGAACCGTAAAATTACTATATATTGTATATTCTTAGATGTTATAACTTTCACTGCAAAGCTAAGGGCCATATATCTTACCAGTATCCTAAATTACTAATAAACCACACCAATTTCCATTAATAATTGAGGATCCACAATTTTACGCTCAAAATACATCTCACTGGAGGTAACCTTAACATCACTACTAGAAGAACAGCCAAGTTTTTTTTAATAAAAAGACCAGCTTCAACCTCTACAACTAAGAAAATTAAAGACACCATACACCAAACACCTAAACATTGCAAAAATAATTGATGTACACCCTAGACAAAAAAAACCCAGCACAGGGGGGTCGCGGCACAGTGGTGCCGTGGTATAGTTGGATCAAGTATAATGATATCTGACAGTGATTAAAATCACTATAAAAAATAAACACTTTGATGCAAATCTTTAGATATTGTTTAATTTTATGAAATTCTGGATAATTACAAAAGCAACATCATCTTCTATTACCTTAATTATATCCTGAATGAAAAAGGAATTATTAAAAAATATTATTTCTCAAAAAAAAATTGTGTTAATCCATACAATTTTCAATAAGTTATAGCATTATAAAGTTAAAAATGTAAAAAATAGAATCGAGAATTTTCACACGAAAATAGCATTCGGTAGCCATTTTCACCACGAAGACAAGTCCAGAGGTCAAATTTTTTTTTTTCAAATTAAAGTATATTACATAAGCTTCAATTTAAGGTATATATAAAAGTGTCAGACCTTCCGGAACACTTTCAAAAGTTAAGTTGAAAAAGTTCTACTTTCTATATGCATTTTTTATATTTGAACACCCCCCGTATATAAAGAAATAGTTTGATTTAAAAAAAAAGTATATCCAATGAAAGATGTATATAAATACTACTTCTCATAAAAAAATTGTATTGATCCATACATTTTTTAAAAAGTTATAGCACTTTAAAGTAAAAAATGTAAATTATAAAATCGAAAATGTTCACACAAAAATAGCATTCGGTAGCCGTTTTCACCATGAAGACAAGTCCAGAGGTCAAATTTTTTTTTTTCAAATTAAAGTACATTACATTAGCTTTAATTTAAGATATATATAAAAGTGTCAGACTTTCCGGAACATTTTCAAAAATTAAGTTGAAAAAGTTGTCATTTTAAATCCCCCCCTGTGGGCAGAAAAAAGGTCAAATTTACAAAAAAAATATACCAAATGATAGGAAAAGACATCAAACATCTATAAAAAAAAAAATTATATTCATATGTTTATTTTTGAAAATGTTATGGCAGTTTTTAGTAAAAAAAATTGAAAAAATTTCGAAAATTAGCGATTTTTAAATTTGTAATTTTTTTGGAGGTTTCCCCCATTTACGGGGAACGAGGGAAATTTTTTCAATTTTGAAGGGTAATTTCTTCGACTAGATACGATTTGTGATCTTTTGACGTATCGTTGAAAGAAATCCGTTTGGTGAGAGCTGAGAAAAAGTGGTAACAGGCACAAAAAAAAAAAAATAATAAACACATCATAGTAAAACCAATACCTTCTCAGCTTCGCATCGAAGCTAAAAATGGTGTAAAAATTATTGGATTAAATATTCAATTTTAATAAAACAACGTATACATTTAAAAATAAGTTTAAAATGTATTATTTTAGTGCAATGTTGGATTTTTACCCTAAAATAATGTTTTTTTAAAATTCTTTATCAAAATTTGTACGCGAAAATCAACTAAATCAAGTAAATAATTAAAGAAATTAAAAAGAACACTCATTTGAGTTCTTTATCTGTAACCTAAATGAATGTTTGAAACTATCAGAAACATATTTTGAAAAGAAAATAAGGGTCATTAATTTTATTTAATTAAAAAACAAGATTGAAAATTTATAAGAAAACTCATATCAAGCAGTAACAGTCCAACAATATTATGATATACACTGAGCAATTGACATTATAGACACACTCATATGGCATATATAACTGATCATACCCAAAAAACCTGTCTAGGAAAATTTTATATATAAAAAAAAAATTACTGCAATTATCTATGTATACAAGTATATAAAACAATATTAAAATCCAATACATCTCAATTATCCAATCAGAATATAACATTATTAACATTCAATTTGAAGAGCAAGAAATCTAGTGCATCCTAAAAATGCTATTATAACACAATACAATGGCTTCCTGCTAATGCAAATAAAATTTATAAAAAATATAAAATATATTTGCAAAATAGAATATTCCCATCATCATGAACAAATGTGCTGCTGATGTAACAATGTTCCCAAAATACATATACATGGCTTTTTAGTATTTTTGTGGCTTTTTTAGTTAAATTTTTTTGATATATGTAGTTTATTAATATTTAAAATATTATTTTTTATTTTAAGTAGTATTAGCCACAAGTGTTCAATTCTTATATAGATTAATAATATATGGAGCTGCACACCTCTAATTCAACTTAACATCATTTATAACTAAGGTTTATGCCTAAGTATAGAACAATTAAATCAATCTCCATACATAGCATACTATATGAAGCCAATACACTTCCTCTAAATCTAAGATATGATATCTTCATTTGCAGATTTGTTACTAAACACCTAGCTGATCTAAATAACCCTACAGTTAAATACACAACCTACTTTTCGTATTCTACAAAAAACAATGTTGAAAAGCAATACTAGAAATTAAAATACAGAAATGGCTTACAAAAAAGAACTACCCAAAATTCTTCCCCAAGAAAAATTTCTGTTTCTGCCTTGGAAGAAAGAGGTTCAACTAATGTCCAATAATGAAAAACAAAACGATCTTTCTTTGTGAGAATTATAACACTACAGTTTTAATAAAACACTTAATTCAAGATTGCCCATAATAAAAGAAGAATCCTTACAGATGAATGGAAATAAAAATTTACCTAAACTTATATGAATTTAAAAAGAACAAATCTTTATAATCTAATCTAATGTAAAAAATTGTAAATAACTGAGTCTAATGATTTAAATGTTAAAGCCTTAAAAAATGTTCACTAGAAATTGTTGAGCTGCACTTTTCTTCTTACCCTGATTACTAATGTATTTTGAATAATGTCTAAAAGTTGGTTTATATATAATTCTTTGTTTACTTACTTGTCCAACTCTTACTGACACAGGTAATGGCTCAAGATCTTCATCTAAAGTTACTAACCATCTAGGATACATAGCAACTACAAGTGTATACAACAAATAATGCGACTTTCCCAAAATAACTAAAAAAAAAAATAAAAATAATTTTAATATGTATTTAGTAAAATAAATATATAACATATGCCTGGTCAACAGCTAGTGTAAATCATTGTAAGGTAGGGCTGATCCTAAATAATTAGGATAGAAGCTAAAGAAATGATATAACTACATAACATATGTAATTAAAATATTTATAAACCAAAATGAAGCATTCAGTAATAATTACTGAATGCCCCATTTTGGTCTATTATTATAATAATGAAAAAATGTACTTTTATTACAATTAAATAGATAAAGTAAACTTTTCAAAAATATTATTATGATAAATTTTTTTCAATACCAAATTACAGTATGTGTAATCAATACTTAATAAATTTTTTTTCAAGACTAATAATTTAGTGATAACTTAAGATATAAACTCCAAATATATTTCAATGTATTAGATTTCATTATAATAAAACAAAATATAAATAAAAAGTATTATTTACTATTAAAAAAATTTCTATAAAGTAAATGATTAATTTATTTTATTTATAACAATACTTCATAAATGTACTTAAATTATGTTGAATTAGTCATTCGTGCAATATGATTAATGGAAAAAGAAATAGGGGTCAAATGATTAAAAAAATATCAACAAAATATATGGGGTATAATAGACAAAAATTCTAATTATTTTATAAAAATTATTCTTAATAATTCAGTAATAACTATAACTCATTAAAAATGATTCATGAGTTTATAACAATAAATATCTACTTAAAAATTTACCTTAAAAAAAATCTTAAAAATAATATAAAAAAAGTTAATGGAATTTAAAATGTTAAATAACATAAAAATCATTTTTTTTTCTTCAAAAAATGCCACTTGGGCACATTGATATGTGCATAGCTCAATTAAGAGGAAAATAAAAAAAACTGTTGAGCTTGTCAACATTCAATTAGTGTGAAGGAATAACTGTGGCCCATTAAAAATTATCTAACACCGTTTCATAAAAGAGTGTGCAAATTATTTGTACAAAGTTCAAAATTCAAAAAATAATTAGAAGATAAAACTTATAATACATGACATTTAACATAAAGTATAATATATTTTTCATTGATCCCGATATTTCTTAACAATTTATTTGTTTTCTTACTTTTATAATACTCTATATAATATATAAATAATTATATAAAAAAAAAAATATATATATATATACACTTACTGTTACGAGTATCTAAGAAACTAAACAATGTTATGAGAAGTCCAGAAACAGCTACTGGATTCATCACTTGTCTATCAGTGTGAAATGGGGACAAGGATAAAGTTCCTTTACCCATATGAGTCAAACCTTGAGCAATACGAACCATGAATAAATGACCAGTGTTTTTGGCATGATATTGAGCTAATTGACGCAACATGGTAGCTAACCTATTAAATTTTAATATTAATATAATTTAAGTAGTACATATTTAATGAACATAAGTTTATAAAAATTAAACATATAATGAAACATATAAGGACACTTTAATTAAGATAAAAAGCAAATAAATTTTATTTATAGAAGCAAATAAGTTCTATGTTTTTATGTACAGAATATTTAATAACAAATTATGAGAATCAATGATAGTCAACATAATATTTATCGGGGTTCATCAATAACATTTTTTGAAAATAATTTTCATTCAACTGAATGAATTTCATGATAAATTGATTAAATTATCAATTTATGATCAATAAAAAGATAAATTAAAATTAATATTGTATAATTAACAATTATTCAATATTGAATTTTTTTTTAATTAAAACTAAAAAATATTAAATTCAAAAAGCCACAAAAATTACTATAAAGTTGTGGATATTTTTTTTTCGAAAATAATGTTACCATTATCAATACTAAATACACACTATATGTTTAAACACATTAAGTATATGTTTAGTATTCATAATGGTAACATTGATTCCAAAAACATATCTGCGATTTTTGAGTAATTTTTTTTGTGGCTTTTTAAGTTTAATATTTTTAGTTTTAAATAAATAATATTTTTAATACAGTTTTAATTATATACTATTAGCCATAAGTGATCAATTTTTATAATAAACCAATACCAGCTAAAATTCAAACAAGTGCAATTTTCATGGGAAAATATTAAATTAACATTGGTGTGATGAGCCCATTATATCAACAAAGATAAGGAAATTATTAATTAAATTAATCTTAGAAATAAATACTTCAATATCAAATTTGCTTGAATATTTTCTTACTTTTATTTTGGTTGTAAATTGATTATCAAAATTCTTTTAGTAAAAATGAGTCTAAATTTATGATCAAAATTCAGACAAATGAGTGTTTTTTTTTAATTTTAAAAACATTCTGATTTATTTATTTGTTGTAACCAACGAATTTAGTACATATATCATAACTATTATTGATGAAAAAAATTGATTTACTTTTTAACCTAAGCCACCTAATTCATAAAATATTTTCTATTTATAAAATATTACAATCACACAATATGAATGTAATTATAAAACATTTTAATTAAAACATTATTATTACTCTTTAGGGTTCATTTACATGTTTATTACTTTTAATGCATAATTAACATAATTTGTTTTTTTTATTAATTATTTATTTTTCGAAATTAACTTTGGTAAAACTATTATAATTTCTTATTATAATAAGATTTACAACTTAATAAATTTTAACTATAAAAATTTTATCATTAACTTCAATGACGTTCATTATTCAAAAATCACAAATTTGTAATGCTTATGTCCTAAAAATAATATTAAATAACCAAATTTAAAATTAAATATATAAATAATTGTTTTATTTTAGTCAGTTTAATGTTAATTAACTTTTATTAGATTCTTACCTGGCATTGTTAGTGCCAGCTCCAACAAGACCCATTGAAAAAATAGCATTATGTGCAACTTCTTCATCTAGATCATGAGAATATTTATTAAGGACATCAATAATATTCATTTGAGGGTTGGAAATTGAAAGTAATGCAATAGCTAAAGGAACTGCTCGTCTCACAGGTGGTTCGCCATATCTCCCCTGTAAAAATAAACAAAAAAATTACAAATACACTTATTTAAAAAATAATAAAAAATTTATTATGAACCAATTGTCCAAATATTCTTGTACACATTTCTGCTCCAGTATCTTCTCCCATAGCTACTACAGCCACCGCCAAAGCTGCTACAGCTTGCATTGATGAAAGATCTTTACTGGCAGTTTCTTTATTTTTTTCTTTATCTTTCTCCTTTTCAGCTGATGTTGATTCTTTTTTTTCATTATCTTTTTCTTTTTCTTTTTTGTCATTTTGTTTTTTTGAATTTTCCTCTTTCTAATATATATTTAAAATTAAAAAATATTTAACTCAAAAAGCAACAAAATTTTATTTAAAAAACCATGGACCAAATTTCATAATAATATTATCAATATCAACAAAAAACATATACTGACATTCAGATAAAAAAAATACTCCTTTATATAACACTAATAACCTCATCAATAAATGACATTATCAATAAGTGATGATATTACCTAAATTGTCACATTCTGTCAGTTTATACAACTATCATTATTAAGCAAATAAAAAAAGCAATTCATTACAAAAAGCATAATATAAAGGAGGTAACAGAAATTTTTAAAAATAAGAATAATTTAATAAATAGACTCATTGAAAAATTTATTATTGGGGTTTTGGGAATGAAAATTAAACAATCAACTAAAATGAATGACACTAACACATATTAAATAAGTAAAATTAAAAACAAGATTGAGTATTATACTATCAATTGCTCACTAATCTTGGGAGGCTAAACAGAAAACCATAATATAAATTTACAAGAGTATATTCTTACATTCCATCATAACATATGTATCAGTAACATAGTTTATGCTAAAAACACACTATTCGGTTGTATAAAAACAATTCGAATAGTTATTCGATAGTTTAAAATATTCGAAAATACCCATCACTAGTATTTAGTGCTGATGTTGGTAACAATGTTCTCGAAATACGTATACACAATTTTTTAGTATTTTTGTGTAAAATATTTTTAATATTTTTTAGTTTTTAATTATTATTTAAAATATATTTTTCAGGAACAATGGTTACCATTATCAGAACTAAAAACATACTATTTACATAAATATAAATGTTAAGGTGGATAATTATACTAAAAATCATATAACCTTTTAGATAAAAATATTATACATATTAATTAACACATTTTAAATTTTTAATAAACATTTTTAAATTAAAACTTTAATAATGAACTAATTTAATAAAATTTCTTACAGGAGCTGGAGTATAATGTTCACTACAGATATGTAATAGTTCTTGAATTTTTAGAACATCTCCAGATCCAGCACAAGCACACATTTTTACAGTCATTTTTGCCATAGATTTGAATGGATCAGCTAAAATATTAAGATCTCCATCAAGAGCATCGGCTTTATCTTTCAGGCCTAATTAAAATTATTTTAATTATTTACATATTATAAGTATTAAAATATTTGTACAAGATTTGATGAAAATGACTGATAAAAAAGTTACAAACCTAAATAACATAATCCCAGAGCAAGGGGTAAAAACCGTGAGTAATGTCCATCTTGAAGTTCTGTAGAAGGTAGGTCTGCAAGAGTTTGAAGAATAACTGAAATCACTTCTTGGTTGGCTGCGCCAACACTTATCATTCCACAAGAAAGAGCAGCTAAAGCAACTACTTCTGGAGTAGATTTACTGTTAGACATAACGGGCAGTAATAATGTTATAACATCTTGACGTCTAGTACCAGCATATGCAAGACCCAAACCTAGTAGATGAAGATAGACATATTTAATAATTAAATATTATTGCAGTAATAATTTATTTGCATACCTAGAACTGCACCAATTCGTAGCAAAACACTTTCATGTAATACATAATCTGATAGCAGTGAATAAGCAGGATCACATTCATTACGAACACCAACATTAACAATTCCCAAAGCAAGCAATGCTCCAGCCTGGAATATAAATTACAAAATAATTTTATAAAATGTATACCATGGTTGCTACAAATTTAAACCTTTAATATTTTTCTTTATTACTACAGCTAAAACAGTATCCAATTGATTGGGAAGTTTTAACTTTTTTTAGAATTAATAATGTTAATAGTCATACTTTAAAGTTCAGTTATACATATAATTGAACTACTTATATGATTTCATGGTAACTTTTGAAAAAAGTAAATTTATTTTTTATTTTTTATTTTTTGTTAAAAAAATATTATTAAAAACTATTATCTACAAAATATTAATATAAAATACAAAATATAGTCAAAAGCAGACAAAACTATTGTTTTTCAAAAACTTATATTTTATATGAGAATACACAACTCACATTACATTCTTAATAGTATATAAACATTTGTATTATGAAAGCAACAGATATAATAACTTAAATGTAGAAGTTTTTAATTTTGTTATTGTGTTGGATGTGATTAAGAACAGAAAATATTGATTGTATATAGTATTTGTTGTGAGAAGCATTGTGTAATAAGATAAAATATTTGTTTGTGTTGAGAGATGAAAGAGAAGAGAAAGAAATAGTTTTTTTAAGTATAGGGCCTATTACAACAAAACAAAAATTTTTTTTTTCAAATTAAAGTATATTACATTATCTTTAATTTAAGATATATATAAAAGTGTCAGACTTTCCGGAACATTTTCAAAAGTTAAGTTGAAAAAGTTGTTAATTTTTTGTGAAAAAGTTGTCAATTTAAATCCCCCCCTGTGGGCAGATAAAGGGTCAAATTTACAAAAAAAATATACCAAATAATAGGTAAAGCCATCAAGCATCTATATAAAAAAAAAAATTTACTAATCCATACATTTTCCGAAAAGTTATAGAAGTTTTTAGTAAAAGAAATTAAAAAAAATTTCAAAAATTAGCGATTTTAAATTTGTAATTTTTTGGGGGATTTCTCCCGTTTACGGGGAACGAGGGAATTTTTTTCAATTTTTGAGGGTAATGTCTTCGACTAGATATGATTTGTGATCTTTTGACGTATATTTGAAAGAAATCGGTTCGGTGAGAGCTGAAGAAGAATGGTGACACAACAAAAAAAAAAAAACATCATAGTAAAATCAAAACATATATATAACTAAATAAATCGAAATATCTAAGGTATTTTTATAAAAAAAATCGTATTGATTCATACATTTTTAAAAAGTTGTGACAGTTTTAACTAAATAAGTTTTAAAAATATCAAAATTTACCAATTTTAGAAATAGTAATTTTTTGGGATATTTCATCCATTTACGAGGAAAAATGTTTTAATGTTTAAGGGTAATGTCTTCAACTAAATACATTTTGTGATCTTTTGATGTATTATTAAAAAAATTGGTACAGTAAGAGCTAAGAAATATTAATGACGGACAAAAATATAAAAATAATTAAACTAACTATAATAAAATTAACACCTCTTATTCGTATCTTAGTTAAAAGTTTAATTTTTAATTTTAGTTATTATGTGGGATGCCTAGCAGATATTTAACAATACAATAAAATGACTAAGAATGTACATGTCAATACATCCCATTTAAACCTACTAAATTTTTAATAATAGAATATTCAGTGAATATAATTTTTTTTTTAACATAATCATACTTTGATATACTCTTCAGATGTGTATAAATATTTGTCAATAGGAGTTAAGCCTCCATGTACATCCCACAAATGAATCAAACCAAGTGATGCAGCAGCACTTAACATTCCTAAAAATTAAATAAAAGATGAATAAAAATTATGCAATATATATAAGCATATTATTAATTTGTAAGTTACCATGCTGTTTATTTTTATACATCCATTTGTTACCATCTTCAACCGAGACTAATTTATCTCGTGAAAAACCAGCATTTACAAATGCATTCACAAAAGTCGATGCAAGGTTATGACGTGCAGAATCAACAGGAACATCTAAATTGTATGATGGACGTAACACTAAACCTTCTAACCATGTCTTATACACATCATCTGGAGTTTTAGGTTCCAAAATATCTAACTAATGAATAATTGTAATTTAGGATTAATTTTTAAATATTTAACTTCATATTTTAATAATATAGCAATATTAATTTATATTATTACTTCTCTAGCCAAGCTATTGAAATGTTCATTAATGTGAGAATTTGACATAATATTTGTAAGATCTGCTTTATCTCTAGGTTCATCATCTAACTCCAAGCCTACATATTGACGACCTAACATGTATGCTAGTTGTTTTCTCACAACTCTATAATAAAAAAAAAATTGGTTTAGATATGAAATATTATCACAGTTGATAAATATAAAAATAAAAAATATAAATTTTTTTACTATCACAATGAAGAGTAATTAATACAATTATTAAAAAATTGAAAAAACATAATTTTATTAACTGATGAGATATAATATTTGACAATTTATGAAATTAATCCACACATATTTTGAGATTCAGTTAACTACCAATAGAGAAAGACATTTATCGCCCTTGGTTATACTACTGTAATTATATATTGTCTATGGACAAGAATACTACTATAACTTGAAAATTTTCATGTGTTTTATATAGCAACATCTTACTAAAAAATATGGAATATTATAGACTGATAGTAACACACACAAATAGAGTTAAAAAATTAATAAATTACAAAGTAAAATTATTTTACTTTTGCAGTTGAATACTTTTATCATATCAAATCTAATTCGACAATAAATACATTAAAAATATTAGAAATTAATCGTTTTAATTGTTTATATGGATAAAGCTTTTTAAGGTACTTTTTATTTGATTAAATAATTTTTTTTCAATTTTTGAGGTAATATCTTAACTAAATATGAATTGTAATCATTTGACATATTGTTGAAAAAAGTAGGTTAATTGAGGGTTGGAAACAGAAATCGCAGCCACAAAAAAAAAACACATAGTAAAATAATATTAACATAAATAAGAAATTTCTTCTCATGAGGGGAGACTACAGTGATGGAATCCTTGATATTTATTGAAATTAATGAATCTAAATGAGATAAAAATCAAACGATTCAAAAATTTTTCTAACTTTATAAAAAAACAAAATATTAATTGCTACAGGCGGATTCGAACCTGGTGCCCTAACCGTGAAAGACATAAGTGTTACCGATTCTGCAACTGTTCGTCACTTTTCCGCTTAATAAAATTAGCAATTTAAGCTAATTCAAATTTTAAAGTTAATTTTTCGACTTTAAAAAAGCAAAAAAATTTCAATAAGTTTAATTTCTTATGTCTTATGACCTTTATTCGAAATAATAACACAAGCTTTAATTTAAGATTAAATAAAAGTGTCAATATTTCTGAAACATTTTCAAAAATTGAAAAAGCTCAACTTGTGTGCAAACTTGTTTTTTTTAATTCCTCCTGCAGGCAGTTTAGAGTCAGATTTTCAAAAAAATTATATTAAATGAAAGAAAAATATTTAAGTTTTCAATATAAAAAAATTATTTTAATTTATTCATTTTTCAAAAAGTTATGGCAGTTTTAAGTATTAAAATATTTCATGTTAAACAGTGATTTTTACATAAAAATTATAAGTTTCGTTAAATTCGACGGCAATTTTCTAATAGAAAAAAAGGTGTTGGGACAAATTTTTTTTTTTGAATTTATAGTATTTATTGTAAGCTTAATTTGACATATATTTAAAGGACACAGTATATCCGGTACATTTTCAAAAGTTAAGCTGAAAAAGTTCTACTTTTTAAACATATGTTTCAAGTTTTCAAAGCCCCTTGTATAAAGGAAAACTGTCTGTCCAATTTAAATCAAAAGTATGTTAAATGAAAGAGATATATATAAAGTATTTAGAAAAAAAAAATTATGTTGATACAGACATTATTCAAAAATATTATAGCTGAACAATTTAACAGAGTTTAATATTAAAACTTAGTAACTTTTATAACTTAGTAAATTACAATTCAACTTATTTTTTTTTAATCTAACTTTACATGATAAAAAAAGATAACTAACTTGGTCAGCATAAATTTTATATAAAAGTAAACTGATAATGTATTGATATATTATATATTGTATTGTAATACCGATTAGACACTTCAAATTCTAGTCAAATGACTGCAATAGATTTTGACTAATCAAAAAGCTAACCCTAAAAAATATATTCAACATTCATCTTAAGGGAAATCTAGTGGGTAATGATCAATCAATCACCCTATATAATACTATAGCACAAATTACTACATTCCCTAAATATTTATATATTCAAAGTGTATAACAACCCAAACAAAATTATCTTAATGACATAGTGTTTTTTTTAATTTTATTGAATTAAAATTTCAACAGTTAAGCTTTTTTATATTTTTATGTTTATAGGTTATAATCTGTTTATTTTAGTTGATATTTACTTAAAAATAACACACATTTAAACTCAGTTGTACTGGATTTTTAAATCCTGGTTATATATTTAACTTTTTAATTGTACTATGATACTTACGGATCTTGACAAGCAACAAAAATTTTAGACATGGTATCAGTATCATTTATTGACATAGCTAAACACAATGCTCTAGGATATTCTTCAAATTTCAAATAGTGTTTCATAACTTCATTATATATGTTAGTTCTTTCTGGCTCAACTACATAAATAGAACAGCTATAAAATAATACAATTATTTTATTTATAATTATTATGTTATTACAAATTTATGGAAGTAAATACAATGCGAAAATAATTTAAGTCAAAATAATCTAAAATAAAAAAAGTTATCAGTAGTTATATTTAAATAGATCCATAATATTAAATGTAGTAACATTTTTAACAGTTAACTTACTTTATTAAATAAAGACAGACTTTAAGATAATTTGATTTATCAACTTGCAACAAATCCAACCTATCAATTTCCATAAGTAAATCACAAGCCTGTATTTCAGCATTGTGTTTCATATCAAATGCTACAATGCTTTTAATAAGCGAGAGCAACTGAATCTTATTTACTTGGTCATTGCTCCATTCCTCTGCTATCTCAGTTTCAAGCTGCCTAAATTAAAAATTTGCATATAAAAGATTATTTTAAGTGCTAATGAATTAAATAATAATTAATAATTATAAATATTTACCTAACATATTCATGTCCCCAGTCTCCGACATCAACTTCTCCAGCTCTTAAACAGTACCGAAGAGTATCTTTTAAACTTTTATCTTGGCCCATAGCTAATATGGATACAATAGAGCATAATAGAGCTTTGGTTTTTACATCAGTTTCAATTGTATCACAACGTTCTTTTAATCGAGAGTAATATGATCGTAAAAATTTTAGAGGTAAAGGAACACTAGTCATAGATGTTGTAGATGTTCTGATTAATTTACGCAATGTTTCTAGAGCTGGACCATAAAGAGAAGCATCTTTCTCCTGATTAAAATAAAATCTTAATTATTATTTTGATGGTTATAATTACATTTAGACTTAAACTTAAAGAAAAATCACATTGATAATTTTTAGTAGTTTATAGTACTGAATTTCATTTAAATTTAAGTGTAATTGTAATAAAATAGTGTATTGTAGCTTAACAGAAAAAAATAGTTAAATTAAAAACTATTTCAACATTTTGATATTTTTTTTATAAATTTATAGCTGATGTGATAAAACAGATAGTTATTCAGTTTACTCGTAAATTGTTTATAAAAAAATTATTTTTTCGACATCTCACTACTTTAGGTTATATTGAACTAGGTTAATCTGATCTTAAATACATTATTAGTCAACATTAATATGGCTTATATAAGCCATGTTATATAGAATTTGTAATAAAAATTTACCAATTTAGCAATACAATCAATAAAGCATTCATAAAAAATAGATATTATACAAGATAGAACGGATCAAACTAATAACTCTAATAACTTTTGGTACAATTAAAATTTTTCAATAATTATTCTTTTTAGAAATTAATGTTTATAAATTTAAAGATTAAAATTGATATTTTATACATTTACACTATATAAATATATTATCATTAAATTTACATTTTGTTATAAAAAGGATATTTACCCGTAAATTTGTAAATAAATAAAATATATTCAAATAATTAATTTTACATGCCAAGGTAAATAAATCAGTTAATAAAAACTTACTAAGTTTTTTTTGTAACAATTGTGAGATAATGGATAAATCAAGAAAACTACTCAGTTTTTGTAACTTAAATTTTATATAGTATATTTAGCAGAAATATAATACAAAATTATAATCAAAAAAAGTTTTCCCACAAAAAAAAAAAAATTAATAATAAATTAAATTTACTAAAATTTGAATATGAATACATTAAAAAAAAATACTCACTAAGAGTCTTTCAACTAACATATGCAATTCCTCTTCGAGTCTCTTGTCCTCTTCGGACTGCAACATAAAATAATTAACATTAAAATTAAATTTTAATACTAATTAAAATTAATACTATTTGAAAAATTATTCTACCATTTCTTCTGTTTTTTTTTCCGCTTTTTTCATGACTTTAATATATATATTTCGAAAATAATTAGAGTAGTATAACAGATATATCTTTTATGACAAAAAGATTTTTATAAGCTGACCACAATTTAAAAAATTATATAATAAAGATTTGAATCTAAATACAAAGCAGAGGAATGACAAGCAGAATAGCTATATGTCTGTGAATTGAAGTTTTTGAGTTTCTATCAGCTAAATGATTATAAAAAATATAAAAATATTAGGTTAATTTAGTACCATGGTACAAAAGATACATTTATATAGAATGTGATATTTACTTCTAGATAGCGCTATAAATCACATTTTTATATACAGTGCAATCAGTTATGGAATTTTCAAATACATTCAACTCTAAAATATAAAGCTACTATAGCTGTCTATAATATTATCCGTTTCTAAAAAATAAAGATATTTTATCTGTCTTTATTATTAAGAGGGCGCTCAAGGCCTTTTTTTGGCACATCAAAATATGTCTCAAATGATCACAGTTTCTGGAGAATTAAGTGGTTGTAGATACATGATCAATATATCAAATTAAACACAACAAAATTATCTAAATCCCTATATTGGCATTTTTTAAAAAAAGTTATAGCCTTTCAAAGTTTACGTGTTTTTAAACATTCATAATTTTTTAAAATTAGTTTATCGAAAATCGCCCTTGCATGGATGTATGTAATTTTATCGTCTTTAATTTGATTTATTAATCATGTCTCTATGACCACTCAATCCTCTAAAATGACCACGAGAAATATGTTTTCTTAACATGTTATTCAACTATTAACGTCGTTTTGTGGCATACCTAGCGGAGTCCTTTGCATACATATGACCGTTAGCGACGGACACTTCGAAAACCGGTTTTGCGACACACAAAATCGTTACCCTTTAACAATAATTGTATTTTGCGTAGAAAAATATTTTCTAATTTAGTAAATTTTATCATTTTCCTAGAACCCATCTCTTAAAAACGTACATTACTTTATGTATTTTTCATTTTTTATAATTACTCGAATTTTGTTGTATTTAGAAAAAAGTTACAAAATTGTAGATCGTTTGATTTTCTATTGTAAGATAAATTTGAATACACAATATTTTCGTCTCTATTGAGATGATGATAGAGTAACATAAAGATTTTTCTGGTTTTCATTTAACCCATATATAAATTCCAGACTTTTTCAACGATTACTCATGTTTTATTATATTTAAAAAAAATTACAATATACCAATTTTGTTAAGTATTTAATTTCCTATTCAACAGTACATTTTACTAGCCAAATTACACTATTATTGTTAAATTTAACCTAAATTAAGTCTAAGATTGTTTTAATATTTTTCAAATGTTTATTAATTAAGAATGATTTTTTGTCAATTACTCGAGTTGTACATAGGAAAAAATTCTAAGTATCAATTTTTTGAAACGTGTATTATTTTATACTTAAAAGTGTACTTTATTGTCTAATTTTTGTTTTTTTTTTTTTTGGTTGAAGCTAAAATTAAATAACGGTAGCACAGTGGGGACGTGGCATAGTTGGACAAGTGTAAATGATATCTGACAATGATTAAGAATCACTTCAATGCAAATCTAGAGATAGTATTTAATTTTAAGAAATTGGTAGATTATTTCAAAATAAACCATAACTCTTATCCCCTTAATTTTATCCCGATTAGTTATTTAATTTATAATTATAATATATGAATACATAATAATTATAGCAATTAAATTTAGTATGAAATTGATATTCAATAATTTAATATTGTAACTTTTATGGAGATATTATACAAAATTATAAAATAGTATATTTCTTTACTTTAAATGCGTATAAAAATTTAAAGGGCTTGAAGCAATACTTTACAATAAAAGCTTTAAATAAATTAAAATTAAAAAAGCTCATATTTTTGAACTTCTGCGAGGCTGTAAAAAAAAAGCTCAATTTCAATCAATGAGGACTATTAGTATGTCATTATACATATTTTAATTCAACTATTAATAAAACAAAATTTGGTTGGGAATTTTTTAAGAAATTTTTCCTTTGTTGACTGGTCTAGATGTCAATTTCAAACTTGTAATTGAGCTAAAAGTTATGGTAATATATTCAATTTTTTTTACTATAAACTTTCATAAATCTTTATCAAAAATTTTTCATCAACTTTAAAGAACCAAAAAAATAGGTTAAAAATGAAAATTTGGACTGATTATTTTTAACATATTAAAAATCAAATCAGTAATAATTTGAAAACAATTTTTTTTTTCTTTTAATTATTATTTTATATGTAATTAGTAATAATATAAAAAATTAGAACTGATGAATAAAGTCTGATTGCAGATTTGAAAACATCGCGAAAATTTGATTTTTGAACTTCCTGTGGGCTGTTAAAGGGTCAAATTTATAAATAAAATATATAAAATGATAGGTAAATATCTAAGGTATCTATAAAAAAAAAAATTATATTGATTCGGTCATTTTTAAAAAAGTTAGGGCAATTTTAAGTAAAAAAAAATGAAAAAATATCGTAAATTAGCGATTTTTAAATTTGTAATTTTTTGGGAGATTTCCCCCGTTTACGGGGAACAAGGGATTTTTTTTCAATTTTTGAGGGTAATGTCTTCAACTAGAACGATTTGTGATCTTTTGACATATTTTTCATCAAAATCGGTTCAGTGAGAGCTGAGATTGAGCGTATACAGACACAAAAAAAAAAGAAAACATCATACATATATATATTAATGCAGAGGTTCTCAAAGTCAAATGAATCACGGACCCCCATCTAAAGACCTACAGTTTTAAAGACCTAACCCTGATATGTGTTCGCGGACCCCTGGGGGTCCGCGGACCACACTTTGAGAAACTCTGTATTAATGTACTAATCTATTAATGTAAACTAATCTAGAATAATGTATTAATCTCTATTATATTAATGTACCTTTTCGGGACTCCTTTTCTCATTAATATTCACTTATAAACCTTTCGGTATTCTATCATACGCTTTCTTTAAGTTTATAAATACCATAAACAGCTTTTTCTTCTTTTCCCTAAACTTTTCTATTAGTTGCTTCACACAAAATACTGGCTCCATTGTTAACTTACCAGGTATAGATCCAAATTAGTTTTTAGATACCGATGTCTCATTTCTTATTTTCTTTTCTATTACCTTTTCCCAAATTTTCTTACTATGACTCATAAGCTTTTAAGCCTCTATAATTTCCACACTCCTGTTTGTCTCTATGATATTCTCATCTACAATATTTGCAAAAAATCAACTCATGACACTCATGTAGTGTTCTCCTTTTAAATTTTAACTAAAAGAACACTCATACAAAAAGTATTATAAAAAACCCAGCACAGGGGGGTCGCGGCACAGTGATGCCATGGTATAGTTGAATCAAGTATAATGATATCTGACAGTGATTAAAATCACTATCAAAAATAAACGCTTCGATGCAAATCTTTAGATTGTGTTTAATTTTAAAAAAATTGATGTATTATTCCAAAAGCTACATGATCTGCTAGTTCCTTATTAATATCTTGATTGAGATAAAGTATGTCGAATGAAACAGGGATTATTAAAAAATATTATTTCTCATAAAAAAATTGTGTTGATCCATATATTTTTCAATAAGTTATAGCATTATAAAGTTAAAAATGTAAAAAATAAAATTGAGAATTTTCACACGAAAATAGCATTCAGTAGCCATTTTCACCACGAAGACAAGTCCAGAGGTCAAATTTTTTTTTTTCAAATTAAAGTATATTACATTATCTTTAATTTAAGATATATATAAAAGTGTCAGACTTTCCGGAACATTTTCAAAAGTTAAGTTGAAAAAGTTGTTAATTTTAAATCCCTCCCTGTGGAAAGATAAAGGGTCAAATTTACAAAAAAAATATACCAAATGATAGGTAAAGACATCAAGCATCTATAAAAAAAAAAATTATATTGATTCGGTCATTTTTAAAAAAGTTAGGGCAATTTTAAGTAAAAAAAAATGAAAAAATATCGTAAATTAGCGATTTTTAAATTTGTAATTTTTTGGGGGGTTTCCCCCGTTTACGGGGAACGAGGGAATTTATTTCAATTTTTGAGGGTAATGTCTTCGACTAGATACGATTTGTGATCTTTTGACATATTGTTCATCAAAATCGGTCCAGCGAGAGCTGAGATTGAGCGTTCACAGACACAAAAAAAAAA